TCCTAGCGGAACGTTCCTTTCAAAGATTTGGAAGTCACATATTGGACTCTTGGATGTAATGTTTGATATCAAGCAGGCTGGTGTGACTGCTGCAGTATTTGTCAGATATATAACTTTCTATTATAGTACGACTGGATTTCGGTTGTATTTTGCTCTTTTCAAAGTTCAGTGCTTGAAAGAGTTACCTACATACCTCAACATACCGTAGTGTTTGGGCCAGGACTCATTTCTTAGAGATGCTCCTCTGGGAGGGGTGGTGACGAAATGTTTTGAGCGATTTTAATTGGACAAATGGTGTAAGCGACAACCCTCTGATGTAATGTTACAGCAGTCCCCGTCTCTCTCTGCCTCTCCCGAACAATTAGTCTGAATCTCTTGTGAAGGAAATCAACACTCCAGATCAGAATGGCAGGACCAATCACCTGTCAATCATCACTGAGAGTGCTTTGCCAACAATCTGACATCATTGTCCTGTGTCACCTCTAGCAAAAATGTACAAGGTATAATAGCACCTTATGGAACTTTGATATTGAATGTAATCTGTGTTCTTTTGGTAGATATAAAAGTTTATACTGTATATATTCTGATAAAAGTAGTTATTTAATCCAGAGGTAAAGTGCACTTTTTCTTGCCTTCTCCTATTACACAATCCTCACTCTTCGTTTTTAAGCCAATGCCCTTTGAACTCAAACTATATGTTTTTCTTACGTAAATCTTCTTAAATACAAGGCAAGTGTTGGAATATATGTATCTATAAATGTATGACATCATAATACTCTTGAGCTGGTATATTCAAACGTGAGCTGGATCATTTTAGTCTGAGACAGCTGTTGAAAAGTATGTAAGGTAAAACCTTTCAAGAGATGTGATTATATCAAATGTGTTTAGCCTTTTTTGAAATATTGTCACTATTCATGACCTCGAAAGGCTAAATGCGTTTGGGTTATATTGTGTATTGTACAAATGTGGTGGAGCACTGTAAAACATGACATGAATAAACATGTAAACGGACCTTTTAGATTGGATAGATCTTAACAATCAGGAGATCATGGAAGTTTTATTGAATGTGGTTATTTTTTAGACCTGGGTTTATGAATGCATAGGAACAGTGATGTACCAGCTGCCATTTATTTCTGCATTGTAACACATTTGATAGGCCCTATAGTGTCTTTGCCTAAAAAGTGGCATGTGGATGTATATAATTTGTGAATATGCTGTATGTTTAATGTTCATGTTGTAGAACAAATCTATGGATTTTTTTAAAAGGATAAACTGAGCGACTGCTGCACATTTCCTTAATGCTTTACACATTTGCTGTTTGAAATTATGCAGCTCAGTTGTCAAATAAACATAAGCTCATGTGAACAAAATGCTATCACCCCCCTCATTTATTTCAGCACCCAAATGCACATGATAGTTATACAGTACACAGTAAAACACTTAAACAGGCTGACAGAATCATTCAGACTTCATTACAGGTCAAAGTACACATGTGACACTCAGTCCATTAGAGTGTTATTTTCAATGTGAACCGCTCAGAAACACCCACTTACCTACAGCTGACATGTAAACAGATTTTATGCATAATGAACCATTAACAAAGGCAGCTAGGTAAAACAAAACAAAAAACAGTTACTCTGAATACTTCTAAGGAGTCGTCCATATCATTTGGATCAATAAATGTTTATAAAACGTATCCTGTGATGAATTCAACTGTGGAGATTTATTATTTATTTAAAGCAATTAATCAAAATGTCAATAACATTAAGATTTGATAGGCCAAAAAAAAAAAAAGACATTTTATACATTTAATAAGTTTGTTTATGCGTTGATGTTGGTGTTTTTTAAGTCAAATAAGTAAGTTTGAAAATCGGCTAACATGAGATTCATAACGTTGGAATGTAAAAACAACCAAAGTTAACAAAATTCACGTGATATGAGTCCCTGGATATTATTCTGAATGCGTATTTGTAAAATAAGCATTATTGCTCATAAAGTAGGTGTCTGTAAATCATAGCTTGTGGGAAATAAAATAGTTTAACCCAACAGCAAGGTCTCAGCTACTAAATGCTTATGTAAACATTTAGCTAATAGACTGAGCTGTGATAAATAATGTTATTCTAGTGGTAGCAAATAACTGGAAAGAGTGCTATATAGTTACTTCAGGACACCCATGTTGGGGACGTGAAAAGTGATAAGGGGGAATTTGGTTTTATATTTCAGCATTCAGTTATGCTGAGCAAGTTAAAGAACACAAACTCTTGCAAATTCACATTCTCAGACTGCAGTGAGAACATAATCGAGGTCACACTGGCATCTAGTGGTAAAACGGCGAAGTCACATGTAATTTATAGCTTATAATTTCAAATACGAATGAATGAATGAATGAATGAGATGTAGGAATTGATGTCCTTAGTAAGTAACCGTAAGGGAAACACTGAAAAATCACACAAGTATTTCTCGGTTTAGCGTTTTAGTGAACTGCGCAAAAGTAGGCCACGAGGGAGCGACTGTATTATTCTCCTCAGTGAGTAGGGGAAAGCGGGGACGAAAGTAACATTTTTCAGAAAAACATCATTTTAAAAGATAATTTTGTAAACAGATATATATATTTGATGTGGCCAATAACTCAGAAATGTCGTCTATATATACCAGGTGGTATTTTGTACAAATGTAGAAAGACTGAAATATAATTTCACTTTGAACATAAATTGCACATTGTTACTTTCGACCCCGTCGGTTGGGACGAAAGTAACACACAGGTGGGTCAAAAGTAACACAACAATCAATACAAGCTAGATGTTTTTGTGTTACTCTTGTTTTTATTAAATATACCTGACTATGACCTTGTTAATACCCACATGAAAAAATACTATAGTAATTTATAGTAAATACTATAGTGTTTTTGAACCATAGCATACTATAGTAAAAGTACTTGAATTAATTTGTTGTGGTAATTCTATAGTTGTTATGGAAATATAACAACTACAGTAATATAGACAAATTACTTTACCCAATACTGTACTAAGTATTCTACAACTATAGGGTATATTATACTACAATACCTACACTACAGTTTACTGCAGTAAAAAATAAATTAGCCTATACTACAGTATCTATTACAGTTTATCAGTTTACTTTGGGCTAATTAATACTACAGTATGCTGTAGCATTCATTAACAAAGTGTTGTAAATAAATACTATAATATATACAGTATAATACACTTTACAATAGTATGGTTCAAAAACACTATAGTATTTACTATAAATTACTATAGTATTTTTTCATGTGGGCAGACAAAAATAGCAAATACGTTTAGCTTTAAGCCATTTAATATAACATTTATTATTTGAACAACAATTATCTGTGCATGTATTGCAGTAAATGATGGAAAAGTAAAGCTATGTCACAAAATAAATTTGAAATATCAGTTCATAAATATCACAGAAAATGTAACGTAAGACTTTTGTAAATATATCAGCGAGTGTATGTGCTAAAATGAATATCTTCTTCGGCTGACTGGTTTCTTTTTGGAAGCCCTCTGCTTGTCAGAATCAGGCCTTCTCACCCAGCAGAGGCAGCTGCCCTGTTCCTGACAGATAGGCCTATGTCCAGAAACGCGCTCTCATGAACATCTGGCTGAATCAGCTGAATCAGA